GTGCGATTTCATAATGGCTAAGAAAAAGTTTAAAAAGACACTTAAACGTTCGAAGTTTCCAAAAATGGGAAGAGCATGGTTCAAGTGGTTTGTAAATCAATGAACGAAGAACTTGCCAATCACATCTGATATGCTCAAGCAAAAGGCCAAATTACTGCATGCCAAAATCAAGGAAAATCCGAGTGACTTCCAACCTAGCAATGTTGGGTTGTAAGCTTAAAAAAGCACATGGAATCTGTAGACCTAAAATATGTGGGAAAAAATGTCGAATAAGTCTGTTTCTGTTAACCCATTTTTGCAAAAACTAAACGCGAGAATTGCCGATTTAGATTTAAAAAAGGAGCAGATTTACAACGCTGATGAGTCTGGCCTGCTTTGGAAGCTTTTGCCCGATAAAACTCTTGCGTGCTCAAAAGAAGCTTCCGCTTCGGGACATAAAATCATTAAAGAACCAATAACTTTTCTTACTTGTACGAATGCTGCTGGAAAAATTAATGGCTCTTTTACTTATAACAATGCCATCCCAAAGAAGGCGAGTTACAGAGTAATGATGGTGGTATAGTGGTATTGTGATTGCTTGCAAACTGTACAGCTCTTATAAAGCCCAAGGACCAGAACGTTATAAGGCTTACGAAAATGAACTACAAAAAAGATCTTTTAAGTCACATTGTTCATCGTGGGAAAACGATTGGAAAAAATTGGCAGTTCCCTGCTTGACTTGAAATATTTGCTTAGAATGGACGGAGCAATGCAATGCTTCCTTAGAGGATATTATTACGCCCCAGAGACTCAGAAGCAGTGTGGTGCTAAAAAAAGCAAGTTTGCACAAAACAAACAAAAATATGAAATTTTTCAGTTCCACGTAAAATTTGTTCAAAAATTTTGAATGAAAATATTAAACATAATAAATTTAAATGCTAAGCAGATATGTGCGTAATTGTATTGAAAATAGTAACTCGGTTCCGGTGACAACCTCGAAACGTGCTACTACTGTATTATGTGGGGATTTTTTTGAAGTAAGATTTGCCCACTAATAAAAGCCCAAGATATCAAATTAGTGCCAATTCGGTTGTAAAATATGGTCATAAACCCTTAAATACCGAAGACCTTGCTATTGAGTGTAGACATAAAAGAGTTATTCCAATCCGTTTGGGACATACAATCAAGACCCGGTTTTTGGACACCATTTTTTTAAACAAGGTCCATAACAGTCCCTCTCTAATCCTTTACCAAATGATAGACTGCTCTTTGAATCATTTGTGGGTGTATCTGTTTTATGTCAAAAGATGTGGAGCTTAGAACCCGACAATTACATGGGAATTCTTACTATGAAATTCATAAAATATATTCCCATAATTAGGAAATTTAAAAAAAAATCTTATCGATTTTACTAAACTAGAGTTGTTCCCCAAAACGTGATTAACGAAAAAATATTACAATTTCCCCAGTTGAATTTATTTAATTTTTACTATAATTTTATTAATTATTGGCAATCCCACAATGAAAAGAGCAATTTTCTCACGTTCTCCCTATTATTTGCTCATTCTCCTTTTGAGAGAACTCTCTCGCTCTCTGTATTTTGGCAAATAAAAGCAATTTGTCCATTGCATATGGCGTAGCCAGCCAGAACGTTACCGTTAGTCTTTACCATACGCTGTACGAGTCAACAAGTTGATAAAGCATTCATCGAAAGAATTTAACAAACAGACGACGACGAGAACAACGGCGGCTGAAAACAGCGACGACGGCGTCGGCAAAATTCTCGGGCAGAGTAGAAAGAAGATGAAAATTGTGTAAAAAAATTAATAATGAAATGATCTAAAAGTAAAACAGCCAAACGGTAAAATAAAAAGAAAATTTCAATTTGTGTGTGTTTGAAGTGTTGTGATGCACAGCGGCGACAACGACGTAGTCGACACCAAAGAAAACATAAATGGCCTATTAAAGAAAGTTAAATTTAGTTGAGAATTTTATTCGATTAATATATTCGCGAAGCAGCAGCCGTCGTATGTGCATGGTTTATTTTTGGCATGACACAAATTTGAGCAGAAAGAAGGGCAACAATAAAAAATGTGAAAAATATAAAGAAAACGAATAATTTTATAAAGTGATGATAACTAAAGAATTTTCATTTACTTTTAATTTACTTTCGCGAGGTCATTACAGATGCACTTAAAGAAGAAGAAAACTGTGATTTTAACGCATCTCTGTGTGTATGTGCGTGTGTGAAAGTAAAAATACCAAACAATAGGAATAACTAGAACTGAGGAAATCTCAGAAAATCTGCCTTGATTCGATTTTTGGCAAGCGAAACGACAAACGCATTAAATAACAAATAAATAAAATAAAAAAGTATCACATAGAATTAAAACCAAACAATAACCAACCAACCTAGCCAACCAGCAGACGCACAAACATACACACACCCAACAGCTGAGTTGACTGCTGCCAATAAACCAAAAAAATATTAAAAATAACACACGCGCTGCGATTGTCGCTGTCAAAAATGACCGAAAAAGAAAAACAGCACAAAAACAAATGTGTCCCACCGACAACAGCAATGAAAACGACAACAACAACAACATTTGCAATAACAGAAAATTTGGATTTATTTTTTCTTTCACTACATAATCATTTCAGAACAAAATAGCACCCTACACAAAGCATTTTGAAGTAGGATAGAAATAGTATTGACTTATGTCTGGTTGTGTACCGTTTATAACAATATCATTTCTTCCTGTAGAAGACCTTACTTCCTGAGATCCCTAGTATTGTGAGATAACCTCTCAGAACAGTTTGAAAACAACATATTTTTTCAGGGGATTATCAGTAGATCCCTAGATATGAGCCTCCTCAGTTCCAAAAAATAGCATTGATACTTATTACAACCATAGGATACCGCCCGATTTCTCTTCTGTCACCAGCAGCCAAGGTTTTAGAGTCTCTATTGCTTCCGTCACTGAAACAGCATTTCGTTCTTGCTCCCCACCAGCACGGTTTCAGGGAATCATATAGCACGACGGCTTTGCAAGAAATTACTTCCAAGATTGCGAATGGCCTCAATCTGCGACGATCACCTGAACGGACCGTTGTGGCAGCTTTAGATCTGTCCAAGGCGTTTGATATGGTCGATTATTCCGAGCTGATATCCGACACCACAAATTCCACCCTTCGGAAGGGTAGGGTAAGGGGTAAAGATAATAGGTTGTACAAAGTTTCGTTAAAATCGGATAGTTTGCATATTATTATAAAATTCATTTTTAGGACAATTTCTACCATTTTGTGGGGGAGGCACCAAAAGGAGTGGACCGATATTCCACATCTTCGAACTTAAACTAAGTATGAAAGAAATATTAAGATGTGCAAAGTTTTGGTGAAATCGATTATTCCCTTCGAGAATTATCGAGACAGACGGACGGACGAACATGTGTAAGTCGACTCCAAATTTTGTGAAACGGATTGGTCCAAAGAAACATGGGTCTAAAACCAATATTTCGATGAGGCACATTTTCGCCGTATCAAGTGTATATACCCTCATTAGCCAAAAGACTGAGGGTATAAACAATCTTGTGTGGAGGGTATAAAAAATTCGGCTGGTCCAAACAAACCACGTTAATTCCTTGTCTTATATTTCAAAGGACGACTACTGCCGTGTAATCGTCCATAAATTTTTGACCCAAAAAAAAGAGGATGTGTTTAGCGGAATGAGAGGTCGGATAGTCCCCAACTTCAATCGTCCGCAAATTGCCCGGAGGGTACTACAGTATAATCATCATACTATGCTGATTGGAAAAATGGGAACAATCTGTCAATTCGTATAAAATATACAAACCTTAAAATCTTGTCGATCACTAGTATTTGGGGGATCAAACTGGTAGCAATACGACGCAAAATGCGTACCTACCTACGATATTGGAAAATAGACTTATAATAGTCCCACAGATATAACATCACTTTGGCGAACATCATGTTTTACCTTACACGACTTATTGTTCTGGCATTCCAGGTACAAGTGACTGGTGATGGAAGTGAAATTAGTCCTGTTCACTGCACGTGTCTTGAGGTGGTTGTCGGCACATTGAAAACTGTGTTTACGATTTATTTAGAAAATTTTTAATATAGGCCCAGTTCTTGAAGGTCCATTCTTGATGTCCTATCAACATATTGTACTCAAAATTCCACCTTAAGCTCAGCCGATTATGAAACATATGAATTTGAGGCAAACTGTGACCAAAATATATGTAACTCTGAACTCCCCCATACGTTTTTGTTGATATCTACGAAATGTGAATTTCTAAAATGTGTTCAATAGAGTCAGGATATCCGAATAGTTCTGATCCCTTCCATGTCCAAATGGATTAAATAAATTCGTGTAGTATATTGCCCAAGACGACTAATATGAATTTTCAGCAGCAGAAGCATTTTTTGTGGTTGTTTTCATTCTTTTTTCTGGGTCATCATCATAATCAAGTGAAAAGCAAAAGTGTCGAAAAATTGTTTTTCGTTGGTTGATTGGTCGGCGGTGTACAACAGCTCTAAAAATATTTTCTTTCGTTCGTTTCTCTTACAGAAAAACTTGTTTTTCTATTCACAAAATAAACCAAAAACAAAAAGAAATTTGTTAATAAACTATAAATAATTTAGTAAATACCCAAACAGAAGAAGAGGAGAACATATGAGAAACATCAAAACGACGACGACAACGAAGGCAAAACATCAAAATAAATGAAGACAAAAACAAATACATCAATGACAAGATAAAGTGACTTAACAACAACTGTGGTCCATCATATTGTAGATAGGAACAAGGAACAAAAAGAGTAGTACCATTAAACAAGGGAACACAAAAGTAAACAACTGAAGGCGATACGCGCCGCCATAGCCTTGAATTGATACCGACCTTTAGAGAAATTTTCTTTTTTCCATATCCATCCACCACCTCCTGCTTCCTTCCTTCCATTGTAACCACATAGTGTTTCACTACACTCCAAAACACACAATTAATGGATGACGAGCTGGAGGATAAAGTTTTCTATCAAACCTACGTTTCACACATGAAGATATTATCGAAATTTGCAGTGGGCTTTTCGTCCCTTAACTCACCATTGGCATATTTCTGGAAATTGTGTCGTCTCTATGTTTTTCGCCCGGAGGTGATATTCTGTGGTGTACTCTTATTTTTTTTACTTATCTATTTACAAGCTGTCGATACATGGTCACGTGGCCTACTGGGACGTATACAGGCGACATTAAGCGGTCGTCAAAAATCGAATCGTCTAAAATTGCTGGAAGCCTCAGGCCAAGGTGATCATCAGTCATGGGAAGCAATACGCAGTCAGAGTTCAGCATATGCGATATTGGGACGAAGACCACGCATGGAAGATCGGTGAGTAAAATGAATGTATATGGAACTATATATTTTATAAATATATTATTTATTTAAAGAAACATGTGCAGGGTAAAATAGTAGAGTAACTTCGTGTAATGTGGACCACCATTTTTTTTTATATTGTGGGCGTAGCAACGGTAAAAAATAAAAACAAATTGTTTTCACAACATAGTAGATTTGTTGGCTAAATATATTCCAGGTCAAATAATATTTATATTTGTCTATAAAAATGTTATTGCATTATATTTCCAAAAACTCAAAACTGCGGATAAAAATAACTTGGCTGGTAATGTGGACCAGTATATGTGGGTAATGAGGATCAGTAAGTTAAAGGTAGGTTGTGGATTGGTTGTGATAAATTTTAGTTTATTGCACTTTTGGGTAACAATGAATGCGAAAATATATGGGTTTATGTTTTGGAATAGTCCCCATTTAAGGGTACCGCCCCATTTGCGGTATTTTGAAGGTCCTTGCTTCATTTACAACCGAAGAACCTGTAATTTTGCATATCGAGTTTTCAGAGGATGGAATACCTACTCGCATATTAAATGCGCCCATGTTTCGAATTCGTCCTCATAAAAAGGTCCAAATTTTTATAGTGGTCCACATTACCCGACATTGAATATTTTTATTTAAAAATAATTATCGGCTTTAAAAATGACTAAAAATTTAAGAATCACCGATTGTAATTACAGATAAACGTATATTTTTGTTAAAGAAAACAAGAAAACCACATAACTTCTTTATATTCGAGAAAAACAAAGTGTTAGACTATTTTGCAAAAACGTTCGACTATTGTGCTAAAAAAATTTCAAATCACACTTTTACAATCAGAGCTACATTATTTTGCAATTATTTATTAAAAACCATGTTTGATGTTTGTTTTCACTAATTAGGAAAATATTTATCAAGGCGGCATTGACATATTTCAAGCATTTTCTTAAATATGGGGGGGTGGTCCGCATTAGACGCCTGGTCCACATTACCCGAAGTTACTCTAAAAATAATATAGTAAAATATACTGGTGACTGTCCTTATTGAGAATTATTAGAACAATGAACTAGAGCAATAATCAAGCATCCATGTAAAGTTAAGGAATAATTTCGGGTATCTTTAGAACTTGAACAATATTTAATATTTCTCATATAGAAATAATTAATTTTATAAGTCACTAGAAGATAAAAAAATGACTTTTTGAGCTGATAGAGGACTTCAGTAACTGAACTGTAAAGGTCTTCGATTATGGACCAAGTCACTTTCGATTTATGCATGTCCGTCCGTCTGTCCGTGTTAAATTGTAAATAAAGTACATGTCGCATTTATGATCAGAATTGAATGAAATATGACACAGCTCATTTTTGTGGCCCAAGGACGAACCTTATTGAAATTCGGATAAATCGATTCAGATTAACATATAGCTCCCATATATAGTTTCATCCGATTTTATGAAAACGGTGCACAAAAGTTGGGCCGATTGGCACAAAAATTTCCACAGCATACTGAATTAGGTCCAGATTGATCTATGCAAAGTTATATTGAAATCGGTTCAGATTTACATATTGCTCCCATATATATTTTCGTCCGATTTTATGTAAATGGTGCACCATAGACTCAAAGTTGTGCCGATTGGGACAAAATTTTGCACAACGTTTTAAATTAGGTCCATATTTATGTATGCGAAGTTTTGTTGAAATCGGTTGAGATTCACATATAGCTCCCATATATATTTTCGTCCGATTTTAAGTAAATTTTGCACCAAGAACCCAACATATGCACATCGTACTGAAGTTAGTATAGCCTAACGTATTGCAAGTTTGCAAAAATGCAAACATAGCCCAAATATATTTTCGACCGACTTTATTTTAATTGGGTTCCAAATAATCAACAGGTGTTCGATTGGAATTTCGCCACATGAAAAATTTCGTATAGTTTGCAGAATGATAATTTTATGGATTGATCTATGACAGTTCACGATTTATATAAAGATCACATATTTTAGTTCATCTAATTTCATGTCAACAGTCCTTCAAACATGCGACGTCTGTTAGGCTGCATCTGTTGTTTATACCCATAGTGGTGAAGGGTATCATATAGTCGGCCCATCCGTCTTTACTATTTTCCTTACTAGTTTTTACACCTTGGAAATGTAAGATTATCAGCTATATATGAGAATGAATGGAATGCTCGATTAAGAAGTCCGAACTCTGTAGGTATAGTGATATATCAGGAAATATATAAGGTCAAACTTTTCAGTATTTCACGTCCAACCGTCAACATAGAGAACATTACTACAGGGAGGACGTTGTGTAGCTCTAACTCGACAATTTGGAGAATTATGCTTATTATTGAACTAAAAAAAATCGTAAAGCTCTCTTTAACGTGAGTACATGAGGAATTATTTATTCAAGCCTTTTTCTGAGATTCAGATAAATCTATTGTTAGGTTAAAGATTTTGGAGTAGAAGATGTATAGTGGTTTTTGGAACCAATCTTGACCTTGTGGCTAGGTTCCCATTCATGAAAAAATAAATAAATTGAAATTGAAAGTTCTCCACGTTAACTTTTTTTTCCAAAATACCCTGACTTTGTTCAAGTTGCTTTTGTCAGACCCTATTTGATATTATTACTTAAAAAAAACATTGCCCCTTTATTTTCATTTTGTTGTTGCATGCCACCACCACACACATTTATAATAGTTATTACAAAAAGTGAAATGCAAATATTTATTTTTAATATCTAGTATAATATCGATTTTTGTTGTTGTTGTTGTTTTGTGTACATGTTTTTGTATATATTGGTACATTTACGCTATACTAAATAGCGATTGTTGCAGTAGCAACAAATTAAACTATTTTTAGCTTTTAGGAGAGCGCGGCGCTATGCGTTTCGAGTGGTGGTGTGTGGCACTCACAATTGCTAATGCACCCAACAGAAGAGTATATAAAAGTGGTATTTTACTTTTTCTGCTCAATCTCATCTATGAAAGATTCGCTACAGATTAACGATACCATTGCCTGCTTGGTTTGGGTGTTGGGTGGGGTAGTATATATTGGTGGTGGTGGTGGGGTTGTTGTCTTATGATGCAAGAAGACATTAAGAAACCAATGATGCCATCAAATTACACGAATACAATTTGTCAGTTTAGCAGTTTGAATTTTGTTGCGGTTATAGTTTCGTTTCTCTCCGTTTCGGTTTCATTTTTTTTTTCTTTCAATTTCTGTTTATAGTAGTTTTTGCGGTTAAGGAAGATTATTTGATTCACAAAACATGATGACGATATACATAGAGATGGCGTTGTGTTCAAATCACTTTTACATTTTACATCTTCTATTAAATCTTAAAAAAAAATGATTAGTTATTCTCTGCGGTTTTCTCTCACCACTAAAACGACATATTTATTAATAAGTCATGTGAGTTGGCACTTTAATAGAAATGACTGTGAAAAAAAAAGAACTTACCCAATATTAGAATTTGATTTTTTCTATTCTTTTGGTGAAATATATAAGTGTGGGGTATAAATAACTATTATATGCAATGAATAAGTAATTTCTATTACTATTCTCTTAATGACATAACGAATTAGTGAAACGTGTAATTGGCTTTGCACAATAAACATTTTATTATCCACTTTCTATTCACATTGTATTTGTATTATACAAGGGTCTGCATAGGTGACATTCGGTTTTTTTTATTGAATTGAGTTTGAGTTCAGAGAATTTAGCTAAGTGTTAGGATTCGAAGGTTGTAGAACCATATAACAATTTTTCACACCGAGCAGATAATATGAACCAACAAAATTAAACGAAATCGCAAATTTTAATCATTTTTACATTTCCAGTTGCATTTCCCATCAGAAGGAACTGAAAGTTTGTATTCAATTTATTTCCTGAACTTTTTGAATGTAGATCCATATGTTGACAAAACCCCAATATAATGGTTTCGCCTAATGAAGAAATTTACAAAACTTCTTTGCAAAAAGATCAATACGAGTACAGACTTTGACATATTCCCCACATAAAGGTCACGTACCATTTTCGGTATGTTGAGGTCTTTAAGTGAATATTCGACCTGAGTGTGTTTAATTTGTTATTTCATTTCCACAGAGGATAAATAACTCGTGACAGACAATCCCGATGACTTCTCGTAAGCATTGAGTTTTCGACAATTGCTCATACGAAAACCGGAGGTCTTCTGCTTTTCGACTAACCTCTGCATGTGTTCCAACTCCAAAAGAGAAGGTGGGAACCAAGTAGAGGTTACGAAGCCGCACGTGCTCTCATCTACTGGTACAACCGCAAGATTGCTATCCTCCTTTAACTATTTTATCCATTAACTCTTTATTTCCACAATGTAAGGCTTTTATCCCCATATAAAGGGTAATCCTGTAACCTGTCCTGTACCGTGTTCCGGAATGAGTTTTATTAGAATTGTACTGTAGCATTTGAGACTGAAGGTTCCAAGGCAACCAAAATTGTTTCAGTCGAAGATTTTTTTATGTTTTTTATACCCTTCACCACACTGTGGTAAAGTGTATTATGTCTTTGTGCATATGCTTGTAGCAGACAAAAGGAAACGAGATAGGCCCATGATTCCTTTTGAGAATATTCATAGAATCACTTTCTGAATCGATTTATGCATATCCGTCCGTCGGTTGATAAATTAGTTAAATTGTAAACAAAGTACAGGTCGCATTTATCAACCGATTTGGATGACATTTGACACAGCTCATTTATTTGGCCCAAGACGAACCCTATTGAAATTAGGAGAAATCGGTTCAGATTTAGGTATATCTTCCATATACATTTTCGTCCGATTTAATGTAAATGTGCACCAAAGTCCCTATATATCTTTCGATATGCACGAAATTTGGCACAGCGTATTGAATTAAGTCTTAAATAATGTGTGTTAAGTTTCGTGAAAATCGGTTCAGATTTAGATATATCTGCCACATATATATTTTCGTCCGATTTAATGTGAATGGTAAACCACAGTCCCTAT